AGGCAGGGCTCAGTGAGGATGGCCGGTCCCCGGGCAGGCAGGGCTCAGCACGGGCAGCACTGATGGCTCCGGCCATCAAGCAAGAGATGAAGTTGAAAAATCACATCGCTAAATGCCAGCAAAAGGTCTGGAAAAACAAACCCCTGCTCAAAGCAGACGGTACCATCGCAGCGGTGGGCTGAATGCTCTCCACCTCCTTTGTTTCTCCCAGTACAACTTTTTCTAGTAAATATTTACCTATTTGTGAGGATGGCTACATGGAGGGGTTCAAATGCATTTTGGGTTATGCAGAAATTCTCTTTGCCGGTTCTCCTCTCTCTCATTTATGCTAATTGCATTTGGATTTTATGCTCAAAATCCTTCAGACTGGCTGATTATAATTTCCAGATACCCAGTAATAAGGCCTTGGGTCCATCTCCCCCTCTGACTGACAGAGCTGAAGGGTTCAGTTTCACCCTGAGCCTCTGAGAGAGCAGCGGCTGCTGCAGCTCCAGCCTCAGCCTGAAGAGCTTCCGGACATGGCCTTCAGGGCATGAAAAATTGATTTGCTTTTCCCTAATCCCCCAAATTAGTTTCTACTGATAAACTTTGGGGTCTTTTTGGTTCCAGGATGTTAATAGAGACATGCATTACCATGCCAGGGACAGAATGATACTCTGCATTTTTCCATCAATTTCCATCGTTATTAGGCATTTTGTAGACTATGAATCCAATTATTAAGTAAGCTTCTAAGGGGGTGTGTGTGGATATAGATATATATATAAATAGAACTTCTATTAATCGTTTTCTTGTGGAGCAGCATTTGCAGTTTAAAGACTGAGGACCCTGTTTTCCTTCTCCCTGTCCTCCCCAGCCACTTCTCATCATGGTTTCTTTTGAGTTTCTGGCGTGGTTTTAAATCGAAATGTCATTTGACCCTCCTGTGGTCAGATACAGTTAGCTATTTGTACTGAATAATTAATTGCTTAAAAAGCATCTGATAAAATAGAATTGATTAGGGCTTCCCAGTACCTCTCACAGAGCTTTTTGTGTCTCGCATACGCATGTGCACACAGAGCAGTTTGGATCTGTGTGCCTGAGCATGCCAAGATCATGCCTTAGCATCTGATTTCTGATCTATTCCTTTGGGGAAGCTTAAAGGGCTTTTCCAATCTGGGCAATTCTGTGTGTGATTCTGTGTAATTGCCACTGTTAATTTTGATTCTGAGGAATCAAATTCTTCAGTGGCTCTGTCAGTGACATGGAGAACACTCACTGGTGCTTCTGGAGACAGGATGGGTCTGTCAGGGCTAGGACAGAGCTGTGCCCAGGGTGTTTGTGGTAGATTCAGAATCACTTTTACAGCTCTGAGTCCTCCTGACTGAGTAGCTGAAGATCCTCACAGGTACCTGCCAAATCTCGGGTCCAGCGACGCCTGTGACTGCATTGAAAGTACTTGCCATAAATTGTAAAAAACCTTCTCCCTGTGAAAATGTTTTCCAGGGGTTTGTAAAGTGTATTTACTTCACACAAAATGCTTCAAGAGAGGGAATTTCTCTTTTGTAAGTCAGTTGCATGAAGGATGCATGGCATGGCTCAGTGACCCTCGTTTTACCTGAAACCTCTTTAAAAAAGCAGTGTTTAATATGTAATCAAGTATTTGATCATAAAGAATGAACAGAATGCCAAATATGTAGTTCTGTGTGAGGTAACACTAATTGGGCTTTTGCTCTAAGGCACAGACATACAACGTTAAGGTCTAGTACTCTGAAATCATCCATGCCATTTTAAAATATTGTGATAATTTATATTAATCATTACATCACTTAAAAATACTTTTTAAATATTCCCTTTAGGTCAGCAAGTTGGAAAGAGAGAAAAATCAGGAAGTTAAGCAGATCAAAGAACACGAACAGCATAAAAGCACAGTGGTGGTAACAGAGCTCAAAGTCAAACTTCATGAAGAGAAAATGAAGGAGCTCCAAGCTGTTCGAGAAGCACTTTTGAGACAGCACGAAGCTGAACTTCTTAGAGTAATAAAAATTAAAGATAATGAAATCCAGAGGCTACAAACCCTTCTCAATGCTGTACGTGACGGGGCTCCTGACAAGGTGAAAACAGTGCTGCTCACAGAGGCGAAGGAGGAGGCCAAGAAGGGATTTGAAGTAGAGAAAATAAAAATGCAGCAAGAAATTTCAGAGCTGAAGGGGGCTAAGAAACAAGTGGAAGAGGCTTTAACGATGGTCATCCAGGCTGACAAAATCAAAGCAGCAGAGATAAGGAGTGTGTATCACCTGCATCAAGAGGAAATCAGCAGAATTAAGAGGGAGTGTGAGAGAGAAATTCGCAGACTGGTACGTGTTGTTCTCTGCATCTATGTTTTTACTAATGCTTACGTTATCGTTAGTAAGGAGATGGGAGTGCGGTGCTGGACTCAGATGAATGACTGAGGAGGGGAATTCAAACTTCTGGACCTTGCTTCCAATCTGTCTTGCATTTACTAGTAGAGATGTCAAAGTGGGGTTTTTTAAATGATGAGGATGTTTTGTAAGGAACTTCTTTACCTGTGTCAGTGCCTATGAATATTGTTCACATTTCCAATATCAGAAAGAGGCCTTGGGTTCCTAGCTGCTCAGGGGAATTCTACAAAACAGTTGTGTTTCTCGGTCCATGCCTCTATTTCTCCACCAGTTGTTCCTTGCTGATCCACCTTGGTACCTCCCTTTCCCTGCCTTTGCTAGTTCCCATGAACATCCCATAATGAGCTTTACACAGCCCCCAAATGCTCTTTTTTCTCCTTTGGTGGCCCCCCAGCAGTGACTCAGCAGGCTCCTGACCTCAGGAGGTAACTGGATTTCCTCACCCATCATGGCTCATCTGGTCCTTGCTGGGTCTTTGTGTAGGTTGATCAGCCTTCAGTCACCTCATGGACCCGTTTGAGCCTCGGGTGGGGCAGTGTGACTCTGAAAGGCCATGGCTAGTGCCTTGTGGCTCTGGGGTACCCTTCCAGTGTGTTTGGAAACCTGTGGGAGAGGTTAAAATGCATCGTGTTGCTTGGAAAAGAGGAGAACTCCCTGAGGGAGGGACCTCCCTCCAAGAGGGAAGTCTTGGCACAAGAGCCTGGCAGGCCAGCAACACTTCCTGAGTTTTAGGATGACTTCTGCTCCGCTGCCATCTCAGATACTTGCCTTGCGATTCACGCAGCCTTGTGAGCGCACAGCTGATGTGCAGGACTGTATCCCCTGTTACTGCCGCTCCCAAGGACACGGGAACAAATGTCACACCCATACTCTCGTGATGCGTATTTTGGGTCTTGTCTCAGTATTTATTTGAAGTTACCATCGTTTTGGCTTTGCCATGCTTTTTTATAGTATCCAGAGTCTCAGCATAACCTCATCCATGTCTCTTCTGAGTCATTATCCCTTGACTATTATCCAAATCCTAAAAAAAAATAAAAATAAAAATAATTAAAAATAGCCGATCAGCTTGCAGACTGACCCAAGTCAAAGCACAGCCGTGTAGCCCTGGAGAGCCCACCCAGGCCAGGGCTGGGACAGCATCGGCTGTGTCCTAATGAGCCCAAGCAACCGACACCAACCGAGGCACCGTGTGCTGCCCCGTTAGTCCCTGGAGTGTGACCTGCCCTTCATTTAGCCACCCGTCCTCTCAGACTTTAGGATGTTAAGTTTTGGGTTTTTTTTCCCCTCAGAGATTGTTTTATTTTTATGAAAAGGATATTAAAATTATTTATAACCAACTGAGCTATGGATACTGTTCAAATATCCTGCAGTGTAGGTCCTCTCCTCTCTGAACATACATTACCAGGTGCATTGATTCAATACATCAGAGGGGAAGGATGGCTAATGTACATCCTAAATAAACTTGCTGCGTTGCGTGAAAAGCCCACGCTAATGGCCTCTAATGTAGAAGCTATAAAATAAATATGTTCTTAGTTATAAGGACTGGTTTGGGGTTATGTTTCCTAAATTGCCTTTGAAAATCAAACTTTTTTAATTCTTGCATGAAAGAATCATATTATCTAACTGTACTAATTAAGTTATGTGATGCCATGATTTTACCAAGCCCCGAGTGCTTCCTGAATGACTTGAAGTATTCTCAGCTCCATTGACTTGACCAGAATTTATTTCAGTGGGAGCTGGTGGCTCCCAGCATCTTGCTGGGGAGGGCCCTGCTCTTTGTCCAGTTCTGGGCCCCACAGTTTGGGAAGGACAGGGAACTGCTGGAGAGAGTCCAGCACAGAGCCACCAAGGTGATGAAGGGAGTGGAGCATCTCCCTGCTGAGGAAAGGCTGAGGGAGCTGGGGCTCTTTAGCTTGGAGAAGAGGAGACTGAGGGGAGACCTCATTAATGTTTATAAATATGTTAAGGGCGAATGTCATGAGGATGGAGCCAGGCTCTTCTCAGTGATGCCCAACGGTAGGAGAAGGGGCAATGGGTGTGAGTTGGAACACAGGAGGTTCCACTTGAACTTGAGAAGAAACTTCTTTACAGTGAGGGTGACAGAGCCCTGGGACAGGCTGCCCAGGGAGGGTGTGGAGTCTCCTTCTCTGGAGACATTCAAAACCTGCCTGGACGCCTTCCTGTGTGATCTCATTTAGGTTCCTGCTCTGGCAGGGGGATTGGACTGGATGATCTTTCGAGGTCCCTTCCAATCCCCAACATCCTGTGATTCTGTGATAAGTCTGGTGCCACGTTGTACGAGAGAAGCTCTCCTCACTATGGAAATGAGGCGATTCTCAAAACACTTAAACTATGACTGAAACCAGCGCTTTTTTTAAGATGGGGGCCATCACTAAAGCCCGCTCACTGAGCTTCCTTGGGGCTGCATGAGATGGAGAGCAGCAGAGCAGCGCGGCGCGAGCGGGACCAGCCAGCGGAGCGATGCCGGAGGCGCCGGCTCAGGTCCCCGCAGCTCCGCGCTGGCTCTGCTCCGTCGGGCACCGCGCCCTCTGGTAACGGCTGTGCCAGACATCCAGCCCTGAATCGTCAATGGATTCACCTCGGGGCTTTCAAAGCTCTGTGATTCACGCACAGTGCGGTATTTAGTTATTTTAATCGAGGGGGGAAGTGACCTTTGAGCACATTGTTACTTCACACCTAGAAAAAGACTTCTTTTTTTGTTTAGTCAGAGTAGAGAAGGACAAGTTGCACTCATGCACGCTGAGCTTCGCAGTGATGTCAAGTCCTTTAGAAGTAGTTTTTTAAAGTAATTTATCTCTGATAGGTACAGTTTTTCATTTCCAAGTCAAATACATCTATACAGGCTTAGCTTATGGAAAATCCTTCTATAAATAGTCAGACAAAGATTGTTTTAAAAAGGTGAGTTAGTAACACTATTAATAATGAAAGTAGAATAATCCATTATTGTACTTTTAACCTGAAGCCAGTTTTTGTCCTTTATTGGACATCCAGGAATATATTTGCTGATGTCTCAGTTTAGACTTTTGGAAAAATGTCAGACAGCTTTTAAAGGAGCAGATGTGGTGGAAGCCACAGCGTCAGAATTACTTCCAGGAAACTGGAGTTTATTTTGGCCTTCAGCATCATCCTCTCTGTCAGGTTTTGCCGAGGGGGGTGCAGGGTGTACCTGCTCAGGCTTTCCAAATAACCAGCTCTGCTATCACCCTTTCCATTTTGTCAACTTACTGCAACTCTGCACGCAGTTAAATTGTCACAGCGAGGCAATCCCAGTGCCGGTGGCTGAGCTGTGTCCTGGCCACCTTTCCAAGGGGGGTCCCTGTGAAACCCTAGCTGCTTATTCTGGTTGTTTTTCAGGTGCCAGGGTAACTATTACCCGTTGGTGCCAATGGCTTCGGACTAATCCCGTACAGCAGGGCTGAGCATCTTGGGGTTCTGTGAACAGCACAGGAAATAACGTGTTTTGCAAACATGTATGTTCACATTATTCCGACCTCGTGGTTTCTGTTTGCACATGTGGCTCATGCTGTTTGTGTCTGTAAAGTCTGGGGGTGATGCTCTCCAGCGAAGTCCAACTAACCCAGTTAAGCTTTCCCTAGCTCAGAAGCTTGAGAAATGTTCATGTAGGAGATGAGAGTCCCTTGCAGATGGTAGCAAGTGAGTACGGCAACAGCCTTCTTCCTAAAGAGTTTCTAATTTTAGTAAACATTTTTAAAATTTTAATTTGTGCATTTTAAAATGGCTTGAAATACTCCACAAATGTATTTAATGACATTTGTATGGTCTTCTACTAGTAGCAGTGTGTGCACGTCCAGAGAAAACAGCCCTTCAGTCAGAATTCCCTGAGATTAACTGGCCTTGAATTTTGCTTAATGGGGACTAAAATTCAATGTGGTAAAGAGCATTTAAATTTTCCTTAAATGTAGGCTGGTCAGAAAGGAGAAGTGCTGAACGGCGATGGCCGCTGCAGCCTCCCTTCCTCCTGGCCTGTTTGTAAGGGGACTAAAACAGAAATCAGAAAAACTGAAAAAATGAGATTTGTTAGAGACTGGAAAGGGTTTATTTTCAACTGAAGATAAACTTTAGGTGGTGATGACTACTGAGAAGATTAATAACCTGCTCTAATACCTCCTGTAAGACCATTGTACACTGAGACCTTCCTGGCTTCCTCATGGGAATGCAACACCCCAGAGAACGAGGAGATCGATCATTTCAGTGGCACTCTGAACCTCCGTGTTTACAAGCTCTTCCCAGAGATTCCTCTTTCAGGCAGAGGTAAATTAGTGAAGATGTCTGATTTAAAGGATGTTATCAGATGAAAAGTGTAGGAAGCTGACTTTTTAAATATTAATTTTATTGGTGATTGATTTATTCTCTATCTTCTCCTTTTTATTCCCTTATATGGTGAAAAATTACCAGATTTGGTATTATAAAAGTATCTCAGCAGTCACCCTATACTGAAGGGTAGACAAATTATTCAAGGTGCATAATTCCTTCTTGCAAACATGGATTATTATTTTTTTTTTTTACCATTTGTGGTTTGAACCTGATTTATAACAGCATGGGCTGCTCTACCAGGGGAGCTCTTTGCCCGGTCGCCAGGTCCTGGGTGATACGTGACTGTGTGGGACAGCAGCTGGAGCACGTTAACTGGCTGGAAACAGGCGTGTTGCATTTACTGGGAATATTATAAACATCTTCTGTTTGGTTAATTACAACTGGGATTTAATCAGTCTGAAATCGAATCGTTCTTTGGCCAGAGGTGTAGCAGGATCACGTTGCAGGATGGAGTTTTCAGCAGCACATACCACACGTGCCCTCGTTTAACTGAAAAGAGATGACAAGTCGTCTCCTCTTGTGCCTGAGGATTTGGCAGCGGTACGGGAACAATGGCCATGCGCTGCTGCCATGGACTCGATGAGCTTAAAGGGCTTTTCCAATATAGGCCATTCTGGGATTCTGTATAACCTAGTTCTGGCATAAGATTTGGGAGGGAGAGTCACGGCGTGGGACCACCTCTTCTGGTGGGACTTTGCTCCTGTGTCACAGCTTAACTGCAATGAGGAATCATTCTCTTGAGGAACTGCTGCCCATTGCAATGCCTCCAGCAGCAAAGTCCGCATGAAACGCTCTCAGCTATCATCTCCTCCTCAGCAATAAGGAAGAGACATCTCTTTACAATCCCACTCTGATCAGTAAAACGGGCTGGGGTGTTCTTGGGAGCCACACCATGGGTGTGGGAACGACACGAGTGGCCGTAAGGAGCATTTTGCTCTTCTGTAGAAGCACATCATGTACTTTGCAATGTGCAGCTCTGATTGCAATATACGCTGCAGTGTGTGTTGTAACAAGATGTTCCAATAGTGTGAGAGGTGATTACACATGGCATTTTGGTTTTCAGCTGTACTGAAATGGGAGGAATTTTTCTGGGCCAAAAAAGAAAAGAAACCTCAGCTTGCTCCTCTGTTGTATTAGCTGAGTTCCCATCCCCTGCAGTGGTGGGAATCAAGGTGGATTTGGTGCTGCAGCACTGTATGACAGCCTGACGTAGATGTTAGCAGAGTTGAAACACCTTGAGTTAGGAACATGACCGGGTCAGGTGTGTCACTGCACAGGTATGCTACCAGCATCCCCCCAGCTCTCTGTGAAACACAAACCATAGTGCTTGATCTCAACGCCCAGTCCTGGAACGCTGCCCTGAGGTGTCCTCGTAGAGTACTTGGTAAAGCCTGGTTAGCTTTACCCAGCTGGCTGTGGCTGATGAGTGACACATCACCAGGACAAAGAGGCAATTGCCTTTATTTCTGGAGAGAGAAGGTGCCCGTGAGCACCCTGCACGCGGGGTACATCCCCTCTGCCAGCCAGTGTCCCTGAACCCCGTCTGTCGGGGGGTGATCACGCTGGAGGGTGACCCCCTCTCCTTTCATCTGGGCCCTCTCTTGTCAGCCTGGGTGATGATGGGGGGCCTGGCAGTCCAGTCCCCACAATCCTGAGGACCAGGGCCCTGGGCAGGTCCCCTCACATGTCCTAATTGCCAGCTCTGACACCGTGTCCCTGGGGAGATGCGTCTGTCGTGTCAGAGCTTCTCCTTTGCGTTCCGAGCTGCTGCCTGTGCAGGACGAGCTTTCATCATCATCTCCACATGCAGGACGGGCTTTCATCATCATCTCCACATGCAGGACAAGCTTTCATCATCATCTCCACATGCAGGACGGGCTTTCATCATCATCTCCACGGCTGGGAGCTTCAAAGGCAGATCTGGGCATGCCACTCTGCTCCTGATGGCGGCTGTGGAGCAGCAGAGCTGCAAACGCCCTGGAAACATCGCGAGAAGAAATCTCCCAACCAGGGAATTTACGTGTTGGATTTTACCTCTGCCATGGAAATAAAACACTTAAAAAGAATCCCACGGCTTAAAAGCAGCGGCGTGTCAGCCCGTGCGAGGGATGGGATGTAGCACGAGGAGGGAGTAACAAATTGAACCTTGCATGGGATTACATTTGCATAATTGGCCTCAGCTGTGCTCACGGGCTGGTTATTAATTAGCGCTCCCACATAAATATTCATCCCAAACTGAGGCAGCGCGTGCGACCTAACGTGGGAACAGGGAGAGCGTGGGGCCGGGCGGGCTCTGGGGGGGTTGGATGCTGCTCCCCTCTGTGCTGACGTCCGTGTCGGAACCCATCAGACACGGGGTGGGGAGGAGGGGTCCCCCCGGTCCCGCACCCCTCGCAGGATGAGGCCGGCGTGTCTGACAGCCCGGCGGGGTGCGTGCCTGGCGACCAGAGCCTCTGCCCGTGAGTTGCGAGTTGTTCCTTGTCCTTGTGTTTTCTTAATGTTACTGATCCTAGGAAGAAATGTGCTAAATTATATTTTTCAGTTGAATGTGTCCTTCAGTTTGTACTATTTCTACAACATTTCTGTTTAATGATGGGCTGCGAACAACTGTCGTGTGCATTTCATGAACGTGAATTTAATCGTATGAAGAGAAATGTGAATACTGATGTTTCCTTTGTTGTTTATGAAGATTATATTTAGGTCTTTTTCTAGAAAACAGACCATTAGTGAAATACTGTGAAATGTTTTGTGTTTTCTCCAGTTTCTTTGTTCCTTCTAATTTAAAGTGTTGCCTGTGTTGTACCATGCCTTTGTTTTCTTATAAATAGGGATTAACTGCCCAATATTCTGCTTATTTTAAACAATTCATCATTTTATGATGTGTTACCCTTACATCTATACATCCATTTAGATTTCTACCTGAAGAACCTCAGCAGGCATCTCTTTGTTTCATTCAAAGTTAGTAGATCATTGCCTTAGTGGAAATTGTCGAAAGCACCTTGGATAAAATGGCACCCAAAGTACATTTGATTTGCTCCATTTTACTAAAAGAATTTAGATTTTGCTTAACCTTGAAACACAGCCTCCACGCAGGTATTTATGAGTTGTCCTGTGTTGTATTTTGGCAAAGGCTGGCTGTTCCCCTGGGGACCATGGGGGATCTCTCTGTGTGTGACAGAGGGACATCACACCCCAACTCCTGTGTCCTCTCCCGTGGCATTTATTCATCCCTCCACCCAGACACACCTGATGGAAGTAATTTTCCCCTTCCCCTTGCTGGGTGTGTGTAAACTGCTGTCACTTGCTTTTTCCCAGAGTAGGTTGTTTTTGCAGTTATTGGCAACAAAACACCCGGAGTGATCTGTTAATTGACAATGTCCTTTTTTTCCAGGTTTACAGACAAAGCTATGAAAGATAAAAGTATCGGGTGCAGTTCTCACAAGGCCAAATGTTCTTCTTTCACACAGGCCACAGTGTAAAAACTGATCATTTAGATTAAATGTGTAAAGTCTCAAAAACTAAAGTCAAAAATCTTACACTTTTATGGTGTCTGAAACCAGATGACCAGACACGTTAGGGGATGTGTATGGTTTCTTTCTCCATAGAATCATTGTCTGTGAGCACACGTGGCAGCCCTGTGGCGTGTGAGTGTCATTAATACTTTATATTCATGTATAATGTATCGTGTGTGCAACCCAGCTGGGACGAGCCTGAGGTTCTCTGGCAGTGTTGTACATCCTGGCGGGCACAGAGGAAGGTTTTGGGCTGTGCTCAGTAATTTTTCATTATTAGGCAGGGCACAGGCCATCCCCATGTGAACTCTCTGACCAGAGGGATCCTGGCATAAGCCACGGCACCAGCGCCCAGGCTGCGGCACGGCTCCGAGCGCGGCGCTCCGCGTTGGGAACGGGGCTCAGCCCCTCCAAGAGAGAGGCTGGAATTCCACATTAGCACCTGGAAAAAATCTGAGTGTGCTGTCCCTCAGAAAATATTCCTGGAGCACCTGGAAATTGGATGTGCCCGATCCCATGGCGATGAGCACAGTGCTCTGAACTCAGCGGGAACAGCGCAGGCAAATAGGGAAGAGGAGAATCAGAGGCAGCTGGACATTTGTCATTTAAGCACTTAACCATTTTGCTTAATGTTTATTTTGCATAAGCAAAACCTTTAATAGAAAGGGGACAGTTAAACAAATTGCTCACATGGGAGCCTTTCGGAAAAAGAATTTGAAAAACTCACATTCCTCCAATATTTTGACAACTGAAAATTATGAATCCAGATTTTCAAAAGGTGGTGTCTGAGCAAAATGCTGCGAAATCATTGAAATGTTTGAGTGAACTAATGCAAATTGTGATATGACTGTTAGGTTGTTGGGGTTTTTTTAAGATAATCTGAAAAGGCACTCAGAATACGGGTTATTTCCTAATGATTTGAATGAAAAAATTCCTGCAAAAAAATATTTTATTCTGGGTGGCCTCCAAAAGAAGAGGGATATTCAGGAGTTGAAGGAATTCAGTTCACATGGTCACTGTCAAATACTGGTTGCTGTTCTCTTTCCAAGAAACCTCTGTTGTATTCTCATGCTGAGGGGTGTCTGCTCTGTGCCACTGTTCTCCGGCCGCGGTTGGGGGTGAACGACGCCGGGTTGTTGTCGAGCCGCTGCCTGCCTGTGTGATTGTGTTCTGTTCTCCTTGTAGATGGAGGAGATTAAGTTTAAAGACAGAGCAGTCTACGTGCTGGAGAGAGAGTTAGGGGTTCAAGCCGGGCATGCTCAGAGACTGCAGCTCCAAAAGGAGGCTTTAGATGAACAACTGTCCCAGATCAAAGAGTCTGATCGGCATCTGAGCAGCCCCAAGCGGGAACTTCCTTATGCAAGTGGTGCAGGAGACGCTTCAGATCATTCGGGAAGCCCCGTAAGCACTTTCACGTGGTTTCAGCTACATGAACGAGCAGAGAGAGTGACAAAATGGCACCAAGGGACAGAATCTTGATGAGTGCACCCTGGAGCAACAGCTTTCCCATAACCGGGCGGGGGAAACCCCCAGGCACCCGTTTCTTGCTCGCATTCCTCAGACAAACCTTGAAGATTTCAAATCAAACCTGGTTATGGGAGAGCTTTTGCTTGTTTTTTTGTCATGTTGTTTTCTGGTTTGTTTGGTTTGGTTTTGTTAGCAGGGTGAAATTTTTCCGTTCTCTTTCTCTTCCTTTTCCTCACTGTTCCATACTTCTGCCACCTCCCTTAATTTGACACAGTTTTGCCAACAAATGATGCAAATGCATTTCTAACCAAGTAATGTATGTGTGCTAGCTTTGGGAACTGCTGACAACGGGGGTTTTTGAGCAGATGTACAAGGCCAGTTTACAAAGGGGAACGGGGGAAGGTGGTGGGTGGATGGAAGTCCCACCATCCTCCCGGAACACCGCTGTTGGCTCGGGTGTTGTGCTGCTGAGTGCTCTCACTTTCAGTGGACCTGGAAGTGCATTCAATACCTCTAACCTGCTCCCTCCTATTTCTTTTTTACAATGCACTATCCAGAACATTAAATTTTAGTCACTCTTTCACAATGACTTTTTAAATATGACTGTGGCTGCTTTTGCCTTAATTTGCTAATAAAACCCCCTCAGTTAACTGACCTCATATATCTGATGTATGCAAATTTTATTCATTGCTGATTCTCATCAAGATTTCTTTTGCAACAGCCTTAATTTTCTCAGTAGAAGTGTAAATACCTGAGCAAACCAATCTGTTTTATTCTTTGTCCCAAGCCTCTCCTGCACCTGTTGAATGAGGAACCCTAGACCTCCCAAAATTGCCACCAGCACTAGGGACGCTAATTTGCTTCTTTCTGTTTGTACTCTGCTCCTACCAAACATCTCAACAAGTCCTAGAGAAGGGGGAAAAGTCTGTCACATTTGTAAATAGACGTAACTCCTCCCTGATTCTGAACAAGAACACATCTGCCTATATTTCTATTCACTTATAATTTGATATAAGCATTTTCACTCAGATAAAGTGCAACCCCTTTGGCTTTATGAGTGACCCTTTAGAACGCAACAAGGGCCACAGCTTTATGGAAGAAGAGCTTATGCAATAGTATAATTGCATGGATTTTCCCCATTTGTACTTTTTACTATAATTTTCTTATAACAAAGTCCTCAGAGTGGTTGATGTGTCTGAAGCACTCAGTTCAACGGTGGCATACATTGGAAACATTGCCTTCATTTTTGATATTTTCTTTTCTGTTTCCAAGTTTACCATTTGTGACTTTGTATTTGCATATACATACTTCTGCATTTGCATACTTTGTTACATTTTCACTCCTAACTTTCCGTTGGTCTCATCCTGCAGCTCTCAGTGCTCAGTTAGGTTACGTAGGTTACACTCTGCCATACAGTTTTAAAATGTTTGGACTTGGGATAAGAAAAAAAGTTTGAGCTTTGAAAAACACTGATACTTATGAACAGTTATTTGCAGTTGATCTTTGTTTTAGGAACAGCAGTTGGATGAAAAGGATGCCCGGCGTTTCCAACTCAAAATTGCGGAGCTGAGTGCCATCATCCGGAAGCTGGAGGACCGGAACGCGCTGCTGTCGGAGGAGAGAAACGAGCTGGTGAGTGCAGCAGTGAGGCATGGCCACGACAGCTTGTGAGTGACCGGCCCTGGCCATGCCTTGCCCCCAAAATAGCAAGATCTTTTCCCCTGCACCCTTTTGAAATCGTTGCAGGACTAGCTGGCTCCTCCTTGCGCTCTGTATTTGGTGATACGCCACATCACGCTCATCTTTGCTTATATAACAATGTTGGGTTTTTTTAAGATGGCATTAGCTGGAATTATTTTTACTTATTTTTTAAAAATGAATAGATTCCCCACATGGTACAGCCATTGTGCAGATTGAATACCTCATGAAGGAGGAACGATCTGCTTCCCAATGGAAAATACCAACAGTTTCTGATCAATTCTGTTTTGCATTAGGAGAAAATACTGCTAGTGTGATAGTTAAAGAAAACGATTAATCTATTTGATGAAAAATAACAGTTTCAGAGGTGTTAATTCTGTCTTTATCTTTCAGTTAAAACGTCTTAGAGAAGCTGAGAGTCAGTATAAGCCCATTTTGGACAAAAATAAACGCCTTAGTAGGAAGAATGAGGAATTGTCACATGCCTTACGTCGAATGGAAAATAAATTAAAATTTGTAACGCAAGAAAATATAGCCATGGTAAGTGTCTGTGTGCTCCAGGGAGAACCTGCCATTTAGTGCTCACAGGGCTGGTGAAGTCGGGCATCATCCCAAACTCGCAAGTTCGATAGGAAACTTCCCCCTTTGGGTGCTTGCTGAGATGTTCTGGGGTACTCAACTGAGTGGTTTGTGGCTTGAACATGTTTTATTTTACATAAAATGTTTTATTTTAGCTTTAAAATAAATAGTTCTGAAGAAAAGAGGTTGTGTAAGCTTTGCCCACTTTGATCAGGCGAATGCTCAGTCACTGGCTGCTCAGCCTCGACATGGGCACAAATCACCCCACTTCACCTTGGACTTTTGTACCAGAATTGCCTCGTAATCCTGGAGAAATCAGCACCTGTGACTTTTTTTAATTGAGTATTGTTAGTGGGCAATAGCTGGCAGCACGTAGCTGTGGTGTTGTATGGATGTGGCAGGGCTGAGGTCATCCCCGTGGGTGCTGCAGCTCCGGGATTGCTGCAGAGCAAAACAAACGAGAGGAACCCACAGAGAAGCAACATTGGACCTGGCTCTCTGAATTCCTTCTCCACCCAGAGAAGCCACACAGCTCTTGGTGAAGCTAAAGAGCAGGAGCAGCTGAGCTGCTGCTGGCCCCTCTCTCTGTTGCGTTGGCCCCGTTGTCCTCCCCAGTGGCCACAAGCCGCACGCGGTGGTGTGAGGAGCAGGGGTACCTGGTGTGTTTGCAGTCTGGCTGTGTCACCTGGCAGGAGCAGGAGAGCTGCCAGAACAGCCGTTAGATTAAAGGGAAGGGTTACACGCCATCCCTGGGCAAAGCCTGCTGATCATTTCCTCTTCTGCCGTGTGGGTTTCTTCTTTTAGAGACAAAGAGCTGGAACAATAAGGAGGCCGAGCTCTTTAAATGACCTTGACCACAGCCAGGAAGAAAGAGAAGTTGATTTCCTGAGACTGCAAGTCATTGAACAGCAAAATATCATTGATGAGCTCTCCAAGGTAAGATGTCTTAGTGCCACTCTCCTGTGAGGTCAACTAAGGCCATAGCAGGAGAACAGGAAGCCTAAGCAGGGTGTGCTTGGGCTTTTGTGAGCTAACGCAGTGGAAACATGGTAGGCATTGCTGTGATGAGTAGTGATTGAACTGAATAGAAGTTGTCTGGGGTATAGTATTTGGGACAATCCTTCCAATCTACATTGCACTTGTGTGACAGAACCATTGCAGCATGTCCAGTAGATACGCCAATGGCCGGATTCTGCATCGGCGAGAAAAAATGTCAGAGCTCCTTTAGCTGGAGACGGCGTCGGGGCTAAAGGCTGCTGTGTGCAAGGGAGATGCTCTGCAATCCTGTGTTCTCAGTCTTCGGAAAGAGCAAATACTGAAATCAAATTACTCCTTAAGAAAACAACTTTTTTTTTATGTCTGTACACTTACTGACAGTTTTTCATTCTTTTTTGTTAGACACTGGAAACTGCTGGGTATGTGAAGAGTGTCATGGTAAGAATGACAATAACTTCGTCCTCATCTTTGTATGCTTTAAAGTGTTGTTCATGGAAAGCATGCAGGGCATAATCACCATATTTATCACTCACAGCTCCATTCAGACAGCGAGCTAACACAGTGCTTTCCTCAGGGTAGATGTTGTCAAAGGCTGTATCACCAGAAATTGCTCACCTGGGAAAAATGTAGTGATAGTGGTGAGGAGAGCTCTGGTGAGAGAGGAAAGCTTTTTTCTACCTCAAAGGCCAAAGTGAGCATGGTCACCCTGTCCCAGTGGCCAACAGTGAGTGTCCCACATCTCCGGGACAGCTCTGCCACGTCAGAATTGCAGGGTTTTGGAGTCTGATTATCATTAGCTTTGTCTCACCCGTGCTGGCACTTTCTCAGTCACTGCCCTTGCCTGACTCATCCCTTTGATATTACCAGTAAATATTTAGTGAAGTCGGGGCACTAACATGTATTGATAAAACGTGCCCTGTTCTGTTCTTTGTTGCCATGTGTGCAGCACAGCTTGTGTTGCCTGGCAAAAACACGTGCTGCATTTTCTTCCATCACAGCTGCTGCTGTTAGGATTTGCCACGTTCTCCAGCGTCACACAGTGTCGTCACATCCTTTTACCAGATGGTTACAATCACAGGTTATGGGGGTTTTCCCTTTTTCTCTCTGCAACCCTGGCCTTTGCTTGGATTTGCAATTCAGAATAAAGACTTTTTTTCAGTACTATAAAAAACTGACATGACTCTGTGAAGAGTGTTGTGATTTCCACTGATCAGAAAAATTCGCTGGCAGCAATAAAGGCTCAAACCTTTTTTCAGAAGCACTGGGGACCTGCAGATCTTTAGAGAAATCAGAAAGTGCCGAGTTCAAACAACTCTGAATTTGGTGTCCTTGGGCTGTTACCCCTGTGCACCTTCCAGAGGGCACAAGCAGCCGTGGCACTGGGAGCCAAGGGCTGGAGTCAGCCTTTGCTTTCCCCCCTGGACAGGGAGCCCATCCACCAGAGAAGAGCTGCAGCGTGGGCTGGAATTGTGCACTTACTGGTGGGGCAGCTCCGGAGCGAGCCCTGAGCTGTCAGTGTGTGTATTGGTTATAACCACCTGGCTTTTGCTATTTGGATTTTCATTAATATAAAGAGCAATTGCTACTTTTTCTGTGACAAACTTGGAAAGTTTTGGAGTAAAACTAACATCTGGCTGAGGAAAGCATGGTTATTCCATCCTGAGGCAGTGCCCAGCGTTGGGTCATTGGATTGCCCAATGACTACTAGTACTGACAGAGTTAATGTACATAACAGCTCTCTGAAAACAGCTCATGTATCTGTCTGATTCTTCCAGGAACGTGATAAGCTGTTAAGGATTAGGAAGCAAAGGAAAAAAATGACAAGAATTCCTAAGGTAAAAAAAAAACCACCCAACACTTGTGTCGTGACATGCTGGTGGGCACGCTGGCTTCCTGGGGTCCTCCAAGTACCTCAGAGACACGCGCGAGGGAACATTCTCCTCCAGGGTCTGCATGTGGGTCCTGTTCTTAAATTTGGGTGGTGTAGCTCAAGAACATTCATAGGCTGTGTTGGGATGTTCAGAAAAGATGGGGCAGGAGCAGGGGAACTGTTTGCATTGCGCAGTACGAGTGTTTGCAGGCTCTGCATTTACCCCGTGGGACCTCAGTGGGATGGGATTGGTTTAACACGAGACAGATTTTATGAATTAACGCATCTCAAAATGATCTTTTAATGGCACTGCCTGAAAACATATGTAGGTTGTAAATAATTCATTACGGAGTTTAGTAACATGTAAAAATTGCTGGTTACCAGAAGCAACGGTTAGAGCTCAGGGAAAAAGAAAGTGTTAGTTAATGAATACTTGGCAGGATGTTAATATAAATATTAACACTGTTATGACATCATGAGATATAATGTCAGGGACCTGAGAGCAAGCTGTGATCTACATATGAAGAATTAAGGTGGCGCTGGAGCTAATGAGTCTATAAATAATGAATTGCGGTTGATGTGAGATAATTCCTTAACTCCTGCCATCCTGCAAATGGCAGCCAGGCTTTTAAACCAGTTATGTTTTGTCTCCTTCAACAGTTACCTGCTGCAAATTAAAAAACCAACCAAACAAACACAAAGCTAAAATCTAGAAATGTAAATCAGCAATTAAATGTATCATTAGAACTGTGTTTGAAATGTCATGTTTGGCTTTCAAGCATTTCACAGTAAATCTTTCTTTACTACCACTTCCCTCATTCTTTTAAACAGAAAGCAGCTTGGAGTGGAAAACTTGTTTTCTTCAAACTGTAAAGACATTGCTGAGCTGATTAACTTCACGTTTTCAACTTAACTTTTCATGTGATATTTATGGTAATGACAGGAGGGACACTGGGGTGGTGACAATGGGTTAACAAAGACATTTCAGTGCACAATTCCCACCTCGCGCCGAGATGGTCCCACAAAGAAGTGAAAAGGAGGCTCTGCCTTAGCCAGAGGAATCAGGAGGAAAATGCATTAAAAAAAGTCCTGGGTTTTGATTTTGCACACTGTGAGACCTAATAACAAACACAGCCATTCCACGAGTTGAATAGTTTTAGCTGTCGTCAGAGCACTGCTGCCACGCGAGGCAGCTGCGCTGGCTGATGCCTTCTCTCTGTCAGAAGCCAGTTGTGGAGACGTTTTTTGGCTACGATGAAGAAGCTTCTTTGGAGTCTGATGGTTCCTCTATCTCGTATCAAACTGACCGGACAGATCAAACCCCTTGCACTCCTGAAGATGACTTGGAAGAGGTATTCATAAAAATATGTGTTCTTTTGTTTTGAAACCTCGCTACTAATTTTTAATGAGATTCCTGGTCTGTTATAGATGTATTTAATCATCTGTCACCTCTGACCAGGAAATTAAAAATGTGTGTTAAATTTAATGCTGTGCATGCTGTTTAATATATTTCTGGATCTCAAGTCTTCAGTAATTTCACAACTTCTAGCCAAGCTGGAAATATTATCTCCTAAGAATATTATATTTATAATGGGTTTATAGGTTAGAGGTCTAAAAAGATGGAGAATTTGGCCAAGCCTAGGGAGATCTGTTCCCACTGTGGTTTACTGCAGGGTTGTGCACATGTAGTTTGGTTCAGGTCCTTCTGTTTGTCATTTTGACCTCGGCACAGAGCTCAGCCTTAAGCAGAAAGGTTTGTGTGTCTGGAAGAAGTGAGCAGTCACGTCCAGCAGCGGTCTCCAGAGGACGGGCTGTCTCCTTGCCAGTGTATTGAGGTCGTGACTTTTCTGGAGGCTCTGAATGCCCTGAACACAAAGGTAGCTGGTAATTCAGGTAGAAGTGATTATCCCGGTATTTTTCAGGGCTTCCCTACAAATGCCTTCCTGAGTGTGTGCCAGATCACTGTACAGTCCCACGTTTCTGGGTTTAACAAGAATCTTGTAATAAACAAAAAGTTGCTAATAATGCCCTGCAGCCTTTTCGTGGGATGCTGCCTGTAATTCTTCAGCTGCCATTTCACCTCTTCCACGGGCTGTAATTAGATTGTAATTAAAAGGGAAGCTAAAGAATCCCTGTCTCCATCATAAAAGATACATGAGAGGTTGCCAGGTGTGTGCTGCACTGCAGGAATTCTGGGTGTATTTTATATGTATGAGCCTCTTTATTTTCATTCCTGTATTGACACTTTTTTCCCTGTTCAGACAGTACAAAGTTTACGCATGCACCCAGCGGTACCATTCCATTTCATGTTGAATGAAATATTCCGGTCAACCTGACATGAAAGCATTCAGTGCTGGATGTTGTAAGGACAGTGAAGAAGATGAAGGACTCTTTTCATGTTGATGTCACCATTTCTATGAGTATTAGACACTGTCAGGCGTGGCTTATTCTCCAGATTGGAAACCTTTTGTTGTTTCAAGAAAGTTGTATTTTCACCTCTAAATGCGATGACTTTGCCTGTTACAGTAATAAAGGGCGATTCAGTCTTTAGTATGTTATATGGATAGCAAGGTTTTATCTTTCTAAGGTGGGGAATTATCTTTTTTTTCCTATATTGCTTTTTTTTTTTGAAGCAATTTTAGCAAGAGACATTTAAGGGACAAGAGAGAAGTAGTCTGAGGCCACGTGAACAAGATCCTTAGTAATGTGCTTCCCAAATTGCATTTCCAAATTAATTTTGGCACTTTTTAGAGAAAGCAAACGTAATCCACTCTTATACCTTTTACTTTCACTGCAGACAAAAAGCACCTGGTGCACTGAACGCCTGTTTTGAATTGCAGGGCATGGCCAAGGAGGAGACAGAACTGCGGTTCCGGCAGCTGACGATGGAGTACCAGGCTCTGCAACGAGCTTACGCCCTATTGCAAGAACAGGTCGGAGGAACATTGGATGCAGAACGAGAAGTTAAGGTCTAAATGGCTTATATTACATGAAAATAAAGGATTGTCATTGTCTGGGGGTTTCCAACTGTACTTGCTCAGGTTGTCAGGGCTCAGGCAGCCCCTCCAGCCCGCTGCCACCGGGGGTGCGGGGCAGGGGACCTGGCTGGGCTCCAGGGTCTCCAACACCAATCAGCCTGTCCAAGATCCCCTGGGAACTGGAGGGACTACTGTTAATTTGTCTTTGTTTTTTCATCTTTGGTCAGTTGAGGAGAAATTCAGACAGAATTTTAATGGAAAATCCTTAAAATTAAGCTCTTTTTCTATAAAAATTTAGGACAGACAGCCTTAAATAAATATATAGCCTGGTGTTTAATTCCTTATGGATTCTGTGACATTACATGATTCCTCATAAACTGTTTAGAAGGCTTATAGCTGAGAGAGATTCTTTTTCTTAATTAAATTGCAGAGTGCCTGGTGCTACTCTGCCTGCCCGCCTGCCTCACGCAGCCCCCACAGCTTCAAACATCTGGCCTAAAAGGTCACATTTATTAGGAGTGTGTTGTACATTGCAAGGAGCTGGCAGGACTTATCACACCCCGAATTAATGGGTGACATAACAGTTCAAATCCTGTTCTGAGCTAACAGTTTGAAGCCTCACAGGAGTGTAACTGTGAGGTTTTAATTGGGCTATAAATCTGTTATGTGAAGGTGTTATCCTGGAATGCCACTGCAGTTCAAGGGAAGGATGATGATGCTGGCAGACACCTGTATCATCCAACCTAGTCCTTCTGGTCAGGACACCTCCAGCATCTGCAGCACAGCCCCACGTACCCCGAGCTGTGACTGTCCCAACCCTGGGCACTTCCCTGGCTCCAATCAGACAGAAAACATTCAGCCAAATTCCTCTAGCTGAATTCCATCTTTACCATAAAATAAGGGCTTTCCTAGCTGTATAACTAGTCTGGTTTGCTTCCACTGGATAATTCAAAGAATTAACTGCTAATTTCGCTGCTGTCTCCACTGGTGAGTGACCTCTCAGCCACTCGGGTTTAGCAGCATCCCTGGTGTCCCCGTGACCTCCCCATTTGGCAATCGTAGATCATCTCACTCTCTCTAAATGCCCAAACTGCATTAAAATCAGCGTTCCCAGAAGCATGCAACTCTGCTCTGAAGTGTTAGGAATTGCACAGGTGAAGAAAATCGTAAGGCAACAAGACATGCCTGACTTGAAAAGTGACTTGATTTTACTTTTCCCAGAGTAGGACCAAAAGAGAGAACAATGCAGATAATGCAAACAAATGAGATTCTTCTCATTGTAAGTCACAAGGTCAATAGCAGATAAATGGTTTGAGGAAAGAAAATGTTCTATAAAACAATATTTGACAAATAAAATAGGTAATATTAATTATGTTTGTTCTCCAGAAAACACGTGTAGGCAGGTGGTGTGCCTTTGAATAAGCATGAAGCTACAAGTATAGTAAAAAATTACACACGATACAGTAAGACCATAAGGGAGGGTACTGCAGGCATGAGGAAAGCAGTGTGCCAGTTTGTGACATTACACATGTAGGGTCTGTTCTGAGCTCTCTAATTCATCAAAAATTTAAAGGAATCAGGTGTGCCCAGAATTGTGGCATGATAATTTTCATTTGTCTTCATGGAGAAATGACTCTGCATCACACTGGCATTTTTAAACACCTTATTTTAAACACCTAAGAGGGAAGACTGCTCGCTGCAGCTGCCATCACCAGCTGTGAGAAGCCCTTTATATTTTGCTCTCCTCCTGTCCACCTCAGGGGATGCTGTTCATGTTAATCCTGACTTCAGGCTCAAAATTATTGTCCTATCTCACAGACTTCTTTTTACGATTAATGATGGACGGTATGTGCTTAGCTGCAAATTTATTCTGCCAAAAAGCTTTAAAAATTATTTGTTCAAAGTATTTGATTTTCTGTACCTGTGTTAGCTTTTGTCTTTTAAAGAAAGTCTGATTTATTATTTTTTTCTTTTTCCCTCGTATCCTACAGACACGTGAGCAGCTCCAAGCAGAAATACACCGATCTCAGGCTCAGATAGAAGATCTGGAGAAGGCACTTGCAGAGCAGGGACAGGTAATGCAAGTGGCCAAACACCAGCCCTCATGCTGGGGATGGGAGGGGGCTCTGGTCGTGTTACTGTGTCATACTGCAGATGCTAGAGAGGGTTCATGTCTGTATGGACTCATCCTGATGTGGCTTTTTGATAGCTGTTCATTTCATACAAAGCTGTTCATTTCATACAAAGTAGATGTACTAGGGAAGCAATTACCATCACTCTGTGCTGTAGTGACCTCCCCTGCACATCCCTCATCACCACTGCACACCTGATTTAGGAAACATTAATCACAGAATTGCCCAGATTGGAAAAGCCTTTTAAGCTCTTCCAGTCCAACCATGAACCCAACACTGACCAGTCCCCAACTAACCCATGTCCCTCAGCACTGTGTCTACACGACTCTTCAATCCCTCCAGGGATGGGGACTCCACCACTGCCCTGGGCAACCCCTTCCAATGCCTCAGACCCCTTTCAGCAAAGAAATTCTTCCTCACATCCCATCTCAACTGCCCTGGCCACAACTGGAGCCCATTTCCTCTTGTCCTGTCCCTTGGTCCTTGGTTGAACAGACCCACCCCCACCTCTCCCCCCTCCTCCAAGGGACTTGGACAGAGCCAGAAGGTCTCCCCTCAGCCTCCTTTTCTCCAGGCTCAACACCCCCAGTTCCCTCAGCCGGGAACTCATAGCTAGAAATATCCCTTTTACTACAAACCAATCTTTTATCTGAAAGAGATTTTTAATCTTTGGAGTGTTTCTATTCCATTTGTGTACTACAGAGTGATAAAATAAGGCAGAAAGGATGAGCTTTGGTATCATAGGAAATTACAGAATTACAATTTCATATGCAATATTGTTCTGTCCAGATGTGTGATTTAATGAAATACTTGCTCCTGTGTTTGTGCCAAACATTGCAAACTTCACCTACAGCATGGGTCATTTCTTTTTCAAGGACATGAAGTGGATTGAGGAGAAACAAGCATTGTATAGAAGAAATCAAGAACTGGTAGAAAAGGTGCTCAATGTTTCTCTTTGTATTATTCAACTACTATTTGTAGCTTAAGGAATGAAAAGGTGCAATATTTAATCTGTATCACACAGCTTTACTGGAAATAATTCACATGTAATTCCTTATACACCTGCCAGAAAAAGCGGTTTTCTGGCATTCCCTATTGCCCCATAAAATGTCCCAAATGTGGTTGTGGGGAAAAGCCCTGTATTCCCCGGACACTGGGGCTGTGCTCCCCGCTGGTGCTGTCCCCAGGGGGTGGGCTCGGACCCTCCGTGCTCGCACTGACCCTGATGTTTCCCCAGCACAGACATCGCGAGACAGATCCGGAGCGATGCTGCAAACGCTGCTGACAGGCGTTGCTTTATTTTGCAGATAAAGCAAATGGAAGCTGAAGAAGCTCGCTTGAAACATGATGTCCAGGACGCTAAGGATCAAAATGAACTCCTGGAGTTCCGGATCTTGGAGCTTGAAGTGAGCACATGTTGCAGCCACGGTCCTGCCCAAGGCTGCACAGTGACATGGGGAACTCGCCCGGGTTTAAAGACCCACAGTGCACTGAACGAGGCCAAAGGGTTGGGTACAAAGAGCTCATAAAAGAGAAAAATAAAAATCCAAAGAAACACACAGCCGGGGATCACCACTCGCGTTCTTGATAGGTTGCTCTGGCAGTCTTACCACTCTAGTAATTATAAGATCCAGCAGATTGGCTCGTGATATAGATACACATTTTACTGTACTCCATCTGTTCTGAGAATGCAGAGAGAGAAAACCAGAGCAGATCGTAGTGGGAAAGAAAAAGAAAAAGGAACTTTTTTTCCATTGTGAAAAGTCATTGCTGTGTTTCACCTCTTGCTAAACCTGCAGAGAAGGAGTCGCGTGGCCTCGACGGCTCTATTGACTCCCACGAGCCTCTGTTGTCTGTATCGTTACCTGCATTTACCAACAGGATCTACAAGCTCTGGGGAACTCTCTTCCAGATTCTCCAAAGAGAAATTAACGAAACAGCTTACAAGAAAGTTTTAAATTATATTTAAGTTAGACTAGGTACAAGTGTATAGTTTTGTTCAGATATATTATGTAGTCAAAAGAATAGGTAAGTGGTCATGATCGGTGCCTGACGAAGAACCATGGTGGGAAAATATCAGCGCTGTTAGTAGGTACATCCACCCTGCTTTGTGGTGAGGTGGAAATCTGCCCTGTCAGCCCTGAGTGCCCTCACAAAAGTACGTGGTGTGGCCAGAGAAATGCTCGTGCTCCTGGCTCTTAGTGTCAGCAGCCACAGGGAGCAGGAGGAAGGGTTCTGTGCTCCCCAAATAAAGCCACTCTGTGATATTTGCTCTGTGTTCAGTTAGAGTGAGACTTTTTCCAACCATACTTATCAATAAATAAATAAATGAAGCTGCCATTTGTGACCTACCATAGCGGGTAACCGAGCAATTATTGTCCTTTCAGGAGAGAGAGAGACGATCTCCTGCCATCAACTTCCACCACGGTCCTTTTACAGAAGGGAAAAGCCCCCTCCAAGTCTATTGCGAGGCAGAAGGTGTCACAGTAAGGGATTCTCCTTTCCTATTTCCCTTTCCCTAAATAAAATCAGATGCTCTGCTCTGACTCCTGGTTTTCCATTTCTCTCCTGTTAGGACATAGTCGTAGCAGAGCTGATGAAAAAACTGGACATTTTAGGGGATAACGCCGTAAGTGTATGTTCCTTTAATAAATTGTGCATGCTTTGGTAAATATCTGTCCTCATGGTCATTTAGCAAAGCCTTCTCGGTGTGCTGCTGCACGCCCTGTCCTCCCTGCAAAGCACTGGGCTGGGAGTTAAGTGTCTTCTGGCTGTTTCAGATTTTGGTACTGGCCCTCTGACCAGTGCCATGTGCCATCTTGGTGTCACCATATTGCTTTTAAATTCTCAATGCTTTTGAAAATATTTTGAAACTTTGGTGTTTGTTTGGGGTGGTCGCTGATCACACATGGTTGGTTTATTTGCTTGCTCTGTATTTGCTTTGCTTTTGCATTTTAGCAGCTGTGTGTTTTAATTTTGTCTAATAACCCATAAACTTTCTATAGTAACCAGGATATTAAACAAAAAGTTACAATAACAGCATGAAAAGAAGAAACAAATAAGGCACATGGTGCTAAGCTTGAGCTTGTCTTGTGTAACTGTGTGTTTATTCCCTGTTGAGGAAAAAAAGATCCAGTGTCACCTTTTTTTCTGGTAAATGTGAGAATTTTACAAGAATTAACTATATGTATAATAAGAATTCAGCATAAATAGTTACAGTTGTTTTCATAACAATGTTGCATTAAAATACACATTTGATTTGCCTTAGTTTATTGTTCCTCGAACATATTTAATTTCATATTTATTTAATACAGCAGTGGCCCAAGTAGTGGATTAATAGCAAGACACTGGGATTTGTTGTAATTATATTCTGCTTTTGGCGCAGAATCTGACCAACGAAGAGCAAGTAGTTGTCATACAAGCAAGGACAGTTCTCACGTTGGCTGAAAAGGTAATAACAACCTCATCACTCACCTGTATCGCGTGTCATGAAAGCATCCCACCCCTCACTTGAAGGCACTGGTGATGGAAATGAGAGTTTCATCACAAAATGCCATGATTCTTTCTGTGGAATTACACTTACACTAGTTTTTGCCAAGACAAAGGTAAAATAGGCTATGACACAATGATTTTTTCCGTCACCAATATGTATGCAAGAAAAAATGTAGCACTATAGTTATTTTTTCCTCTTTTATTTAATGAATTTCGATCAGTACTTGCAGAGTGTGCTGGCACCCCCTGGATTCTCAGGGAATCTCACCTGCCCGGTCTCTGTTTTTGTGCACAGTGGCTCCAGCAGATCGAAGTGACGGAGTCTGCGCTGCAGCAGAAGATGCTGGACCTGGAGAATGAGAAGGTGCTGAGAGACGAGGGGAACGGGCGGGTGGGAGAGGCAGCAGGAAGAGCTGTCGCTGTGGGGCCATGGCCGTTGGACTGACCTTCTCCTCTTGGTGTCCCCAGGAGCTGTTCAGCAAGCAAAAGGGCTACCTGGATGATGAGCTGGACTTCAGGAAACAGGCCTTGGACCAAGCCCACAAGGTGAGGAAGATCAGTCTTGACTGAATTATGACAGAGAATCACAGAGTGGTTTGAGTTGGGACCTTAAAGCCCATCCAGTCCCAACCCCCCTGCCATCAGCAGGGACACCTTCCACTAGACCAGATTGCTCAAAGCCTCATCCAACCTGGCCTTCAACACTTACATCTTGATTAACTTACATTGTGTAGTATGTGTGGTCTGTTCTTGATAGAAGAACTCTGCTTTGGACAGGACTGCTTGTGGAGTGGCCTGAGGAATAAACAGGCTGATTTTTAAACAAATTCTCTATACCCTGAGCTAACAACATGTTCCTCAGGGACGGAGATCCTTGTGTTTGCATGGTCCTTGCATGATTAGGACTTAAATATTGATTTATTGAACACAAAGTGTAATTGCAGAGGTTTTGGTGAGTGATAAGAAAATTATGTTTTCAGTAGTTTCTCTTTTCCTTCCAAAACAGAGACTTTGACCATGACATTTCCTTAGATCTTAGATTACAGCCTCTGTAACCAAAGCAGCTGGAGGTATTTTGTTATTCTGTAAATTTGAAACTAAACTGCTTTTAGGTCAGGTTCAACATTAGCTGACCCTAACCCATTTCAACCATCTCTTTAGTCATCCGCGGTCCTGTCTCCTTTACTTAGAGAAAAGTTCAAGAAATACTCAGGAAAGACGTAAATGCATAAATTTTTGCATTGATTTATTTCATTCTTTCCATTCCATTCAAACCTTGAGCACAGTTTTGCTTTCTGAGAAGCAGTGAGGATTTATGACTCTCTTTGTGGATACTTCTCTATTTGTACGTCAAACCATTTGGGGGAGCTTTTACTCCATACACTTTCTGGTCCTGTAAGGATGATTCTTAAGACTGATTTTGCCACATGCTGAGCTGTATCTGGAACCAACATCTATGCACAGTGGAAAGCCCGGGAAATATACAGTCGCCCCTTACCTGCAGGCTCAGCCCTAACGCCAGATCATCTCTGGCAGCCTTGAGCTGTGCTGAGAGGAGGAAAAGGAAACGGCCCAGGCAGTTGAGATGGGATGTGAGGAAGAATTTCTTTGCTGAAAGGGTTCTGAGGCATTGGAAGGGGTTGCCCAGGGCAGTGGTGGAGTCCCCATCCCTGGAGGGATTGAAGAGTCGTGTAGACACAGTGCTGAGGGACATGGGTTAGTCATAGGGGACTGGTCAGTGTTGGGTTCATGGTTGGACTCCATGAGCTTAAAGGGCTTTTCCCATCCAGGCAATTCTGGGATTCTGCAATTCATCTTCAAAGATAAGCCCTGAGAGGAGTGATCACCTGTGTCTTGGGTGAATTCTGAAACAAATCCATAAATCTGAGTGGGAAAAATCATACGGCATCACTTGAAACTCCTGGCACCTGCAGGAGAGCTCTGTCACAGAGCCGTGGCTGTCGGTGAGGGCGTTGCTCCTGCGGCTCGCAGCCAGCCGCTCGCTCTCCATCCATGAGGTGCATCTCCCATTCCAGGATCCCAGATTTACCAAAGGGCCCAACAGCAGCAACCTGCTGCTTGGCTCTGCTGCTTGTGGGGAAGGAACAAGCACGATGAACTGTGTCTTAGGCCGTGCAGAAGAAGCTGAGGGTCATTTCCATTTCCCTGTGTTCTTTGAAGGCATCACACGAGTGTCCCGTGGCAAAGCGATGGGCTTTTCTCCCAGGCACAAGCGCAGCAGCAAGAAAGCTTTGTTCTGCCCCAAAATTCAAGTGGCAAAAGCTCTTTTGATTTGTATAATTTGTTTCACTCCCATGTTTCCTTTGTGCCCCTTGAGATGAGGAGCTGCTAATCTGCCCCCGCTCACGGCAGCCAACAAGATTACCAGCTGTAACCGCTAAGCGTTTTGCACGGTTCTCACTCTCTGGTTGCTGGTGGGGGATTTTGTTCCAAGAAGCACTTGGCTCACACAGAGACTCCTGACACTGCTGCTGCTCTGGAGACCATGAATTTCCCCACATGCTTCTTTCCTCTCAAGTCAGCACAATAAAGAGGGATAATGGTTGTATAACGGAGGTTTGGGGCCCAACAGAAATCCATGTCTCAAATAACAGCGTTTCATTGGGACGGTAATTGTTAGCAAGGGTGTTGGTGTCATTTTAAAAAGTGAAAGCAGAATCTTCTGAGATCTGATCTGATCTTCCCCACAGAGATAACATAGCTTCTGTCTGTCAGTTATCATCAGCATCTGTAACTCCTGCCATGATGTTATTACTCTCGTAAATGTTTGTATTGTTCTGTCCTGGCTCTGCTAAGCCATGATGAGAAAACACCACCAGCAACCTCAGGTGGAAAAACTTGTTGATTTTGAATGGAGCTGAATTACCACAACAGACATCTTTGGCATTTTCAGACAGCCTGTCTAAGAAGTTCAGACCATGCTATTGCAGTTGTGTTCTCCTGAAGCTATGGAGAAGGTACCACCAGCTTTGGAGAGGGTGTGCAAAGGTGCTGTCATCAGCTTTTTTCTTGCCCTATATTAAACTTGCTGAAGAAGATTTTGGCTTGGTTTTGGCTTGCATGAAGGAATAGCATTTATCTTGGACTTTGAAGCAGAAGATATTGTCTGGCAAGGTCACCTGCCTCAGGAGGGTACCAGGCTTGGTGACCCTGGGGAAACATTGGCAGCCCATTTCCTACACACTTCTTTATCTCAATAAATCCGGAGGGTACATCTGTCTGTGCGCAAGGGACGTTTTCTGATGCAGTGAAGTAAAGGTTCTGCAGCCTGAGACTGCGGGAGCAGAGCCCAGCTACCAGATAATGTTCTTCTTGAGCATAAAACCTCTTGGAGCTGGCAGCTCTGCCAGAGGAAGAGCTGGAAACGCTTCACATGAGGCATTGGAAGGTAGCTGGTAGCACCCAACAGGGAGTCATTCCTTTCTGGCAGGAGTGTGAGCTGGTCCTACATCCTCTGCTGCTGCAGACAGAATAGCTGAGAGACCGAACGTTACATTTAAAAAATCTCTCTAACTCACCAAATGAGTCTTTTATGAATCCCTTTTCCTGTTCCTTTTCCTGTTCCTTCCCCTTTTCTTCTTTTCCTTTTCTCCAGAAAGAAGCTGACACCCATGTATTTGTTAGAGCAGACTAGGCTGGGCCCAGGGGCCATCCCAGTTCCAGGGCTGCTCAGCACAAACGCAGCCTGCAGTATTTTCCCCCTGGATTGGGTTTTCTGCCCTGTCCTGTGCAGGAGGCTCAGCACACGACCCTTCCACCCCTCCCCTTGCCTTACTGGGGTAGGATTTTCAGTTCACAGAATCCTCATCCGACAGAGACCAGGTCAAGCTGACAGCTTTATATTGTTTTTGATTAGCAAATTCTGGAATTAGAAGCCATGCTCTATGATGCCCTGCAGCAAGAAGCTGGAGCCAAAATTTCCGAACTTCTTTCAGAAGAGGAGAAAGAGAAGCTGAAGAGCGCCGTGGAGCAATGGAAGCGGCAGGTGATGAGCGAGCTCCGGGAGAGGGACGCCCAGATCCTGCGGGAACGGATGGAGATCATTCAGCACGCACAGCAGGTGGGTGCTGGGGCACGGGCACGGCGAGATGCAGGGTGGGATGGTCCCTCAGGTGGAAACGTAATGAACTTGTGAGCATCAGCCTCTCCTGATGGAGCTGGTCCTGGGGCTGGATCTCGCTATGCTTTGGATAATCCCTGCAAACAGGGCATGGTGACTTTTGTGAATTTGTCACACACGGTGACATTCGTGGAGGACTCATCTACAGCTTAAAACCCAATTTATTTATTTATTTTTAGAAGCACAGCACATACAATTTATATCTCCAAAAATAATGCTGCTTCTGGGTGCATCTGTATTTGGTTGGTTAATAAATATTTTTTTTATTTGAAATCTGACAGAGAATTAAAGAGCTAGAAGAAAGAATTGAAGGCCAAAAAAGACAAATAAAAGAGTTAGAGGAAAAGGTAAGGTAATGCAGATGAAACAGCTGTCCTGTGTGCTCATGACCATACATTCATTTCACCTTGGCTAAGGAAACAGTCTTGTAAGGAGCCGGTGTGTGTTTGTCAGCGCAGTGAGCTAATGGGAGAGCGCTCCAGGAAACCATTTGGCATTCACATCGGTCCCTCTGAGAAGGAAAGGTTACCCGCTTAGCTTGAGTCTTTCCTTCTGTTATCCTTCAGTAGAGCCCAAAACAGAGGGTTGGGCAGGGATGTGGGGGGTCCATCTGCCCTGGGAAGGGAGTGATGGAGAGCCAAGGGATGCTGGACAGCAGAGGGGTGAGCTCAATGCATGTTCTGGTGAAGGAGCCAGGAGTCTTCTCCTTCCCTCCTGTCTCCAGCAGTTGCACGTGCAGCTGCCCTGACCTGCCATCCCCAGAGGGAACGAGGAGCCTCCGTCTCCTCTCCTCACCTGCAGCCCCAGCAGTCACTGTCACCATGGTTAATGTCATTGAGCTGTCTCCAGTCAAGCCAGAACTGTTGAATTTTACCCTAAAATTACCCTCATCTGAAACTATCTATTTCTAGTGAAATTGCCATGGGAGAACTTTTTCAGGTACAACAGGGGCTGAGCTGGACTTGCACCTGGAACTAAACCCAAACCTTAGCGGTGTTGGGTGTGGGGGTTTTTTGAGGTATCAGAGGAATTCAGGTATTTTGTTCCTCCCTGTTTTTCCTGAGCCCTTGGCTATGACTGAGCTGGGCTCTGCTGGGGCAGGAGGTGACCCTCATCAGTGTGAGGGATGCAGGGGCTCTGGCTGAGCCCTGAGCCCTCCCAGCTTACTTCACTCTTTATATTTCTTTTCAACTGAGAGTTTTGTTGCACTCTGTCTGTAACCACAGCTTATTTCTCAGCTAAACACACTGTAAACTCTTATTCTCTTTCTTCTCTTCCATTTTTTCCTCTCTTCCCTCCCCTTTTCAGTTTTTATTTTTGTTTTTATTTTTCTCCTTAGCTTTCATTCTTTGGTCATAGTCCTTCAGGCCACATGCAAAAGGTAAGCCCTGGGGTCACCTCTGGTCTCCTCTCTTCTTACAAATCATCAGAGCCTTCCCCTTGCTACTCCGGCTGCTTTGGCAGTGTTGGGGGAGTCTCCTGGGCACCCTAGATAACCCAAAAATGGAAATCCCTAAAGCTTTTGAAAAAAAAAATAGAAGTGAAACCTAGGCACCAGCAGGCTAAAAACTTGTCAAACTGAATTTCCTTCTTCAGAGGGAAGGACAAGGAAAGAGAAAAACACAGCAGGCTTAAAAGCAAGGAAACTTCTAGCAAACCAGGGTAAACACCCAGTCTGTGTTCTTCCTCTGACTGCATCAGGGGCTGCTCCAGCTGATCCTTGCTGGAAATCCATGGAAATCCGCTGCCCCTTCTCCCTGCATGGCTGGGGTCTCCGGCAGGCCTCTCGCCTTAGCCTGTCCTGCCTTCAGGCTGAGCAACCAGAGTGGTCTGGGGGGAAACACGTCATTTAGAAATGTGTGTTTCTCCAAGGATCATGCCATAGGGTCCTAGATATTGCCCAAATCCCCCTTCTTCCCCATGCAAATAGGAGATAAATTGACAATCTGGGCTTCCAGAGGTGGCAGAAATTACCACGTCAGGGATGGCATTGAGGGGAATGTTCCCTGTTAGTCGTTAACATCAATAGAATATAACACCAATCCTTTTTAACAGTTGTGCAATTCAAACAGATAATTACAAATATAACCCTTACAGAAATTTTCATGCGTGTTATTTTTGCCCTGATACACTTTTCTTTGATCCATGTTTTTATATCTCTTCTTCTTTCAGCCTACTAAGGAAGCTACAATTGCTTCTACTGTTATCAACAGGAAGGCAGCGTTGATTACCAAGACAGAAAAAGAGACATTGCCCTTTCAAAACCCCCAAATCTCTCTCGTGTTTTGCTGCTGAGGATGGGACATGCAATCTTCCTGACCCTTCCCTGCTGAAGCTGAGCTGGGGTATGTGGAAATGTCTGCACAGGTGGCGTCTGCACCACTGAAACCTCTGACTGAGCATTTTGAAAAGCTGGAACTAAGCTGAGAAAGAAGAAAGCCAAAACCCCTCTCCCTCTCCTACAGCCACAGGCTCCTTCCCGGAGTCCTGGCTCTGCTGCTTGAAATAGCTCTCAGCTTTACGTAAGGAGCAGTATACTGATTCAGATCGACTGAATATATTTGGGTTCCCTGCTAAGCAGGTAGGAAATTGCTTCTCTGTAGAAGTGACCATGTCCTGTTTTATAAGTCACACATTTCTATTTGTTATTCATAGTTACTTAAAAATCTGTCTTGAAAGAAGATTTTAGGAAGAATCATAGAATCGTTGGGTTGGAAAAGACCTTTGAGATCATAGAGTCCACCCGAGTTCCAGAGTAACTCACAAAAAGATAAATGTGAATGAAAACTAATTGGTTTGTTCCAAGGTGTTTCATCATAACACAGAGTATGTTCAACGGTTTGTTGAATATCCCACAAGCTCAGTTTTAGGGAAAAAAGCAAAGCTGTGTTTCAACCCTTCAGAAAATCAAGTTGTAAATTTTTTTTAAGTTTTCAGTAGACCATGACCCACAGCACAATGAGAAAAACAGCAAAATAATTTACATTTTGCTGTCCCTGAATGATGACAAAAAGCTTAACATTGTCCCAACAAAAAGTCTGATGTGGAAAGGAGTGGATGGAAAAAACGTTATCCCTGAGCTGCAGGGTCTGGGCTGGGGAAGGCAGCAAAGGGAACAGAAGATTTTCCCACCCTGAGGCAAAGGAGCACAAGTACTGCAGAGCCCAGGAGGCTGGGAAGGAAAAGCGGATCCTCTGGAAAAACAGGTGAAGGAAAATCCAGAAGAAAACACAGAGTGTGATTCACCACGTGGGAACTGGGGGCTGCAGCCGAGCACACAAACCTGGGGCTGTTGAGGAAGACCAAGAACAAGCTCCCATCCATGAATTTCCACGGTTGTGGTGCAGGAAGGTCCCCGAGGTGCAGGATGCGGTGGAGGAACTGCCCGTCCCTTGGAAGCAGGAGGCAGGAAGCAAAACCAGAGCTCCTGACAGGTAAGATGGATGGATCCACTAACCCCCATGTATTATATAGTTATATACGCTATGTAACTGCCTCTACATGGCTGCTGGCCCCTCTTGCTCAGGTGAGATGCTTCTGGTGATAACCGTGGGCAGTACGTGGGGGTGTGCACTGCTGTGGGGCGGGTGGCTTTTCTCCCAGCAAACCCCTACACAGCTCCTGCTGGGGTCACCACCTTCTGCACCAGTGCTGGATCTGTCCCCATGAGCCTGTTTGGTTTGGAGATTAATACTTTCCTTTAAATAACCTTATGCATTGATCCCATGATCAAATTGCTTTTTCCTTGGTGTGCTCTGGTTGTCAGAGGAGGTTGGGTTGTTTTAAGGTCAGCAGCACATTTTTCCAGAAGTGATCCACAGGGAAGATGATGAGCTACAGGAGCATGAATTCTCCTCTAATGTTCTATCAGCTCCCTTCTGTGTATATATATATTTATATATATTCATGCATTTTGAAAGGGGTTGAAAATGGTTTTCTTCACAGGGGTACAGAGATAAGGCTAATGAGCTGCCTTATTAGAATACTAATTGGCAGGTCTTTGCTCTGCAGGATGACCCAAAACATCTTTGTTTAAAGTGAACCATGTAGGGGAAATTCAAGCCATCAAGAAGAGTCCAATTGAGGAAACAGCATTCAGGGGCAGGTACAGGGGAAATATCTCGCAGGCTGCTCGTTTTTACTGCGATGTAAATCTTCTGTAACTTTCTTGATCTCAGCAAAGAGCAGAATTTGGCTTGGTAATAATACAGTGATTTCCGGCACATTAATAATAGTCAATTTATATCAAGTCATAGGATGTCTTCTTGCACAGTATTTCTGCTTTAATGTTTCAGGGGTTGTTACAAACTGAAATGCATAGAAATGACAATGTCAGTCTGAATTTACAGACGGGATTAGACGGAGGTCCTCGGGCAGGAATAACAACCTCGCTGGTGCTCAAGGACAGCTTCAGCACAGCGCAGGTTTGAGACGTGTCTGGGAAAGCTCTTTGATCATGGAGAGACCTCATTTTATAAAAAGGCTGCTCTTTACCATTTTGCTAATTCCTACAGGAAAATAATTTGATGCAGACTTGCTGAGATTTTCCTTCTAAGTAGAGCATCTGCTTTATTATGGCAGTAACTTCTTGTTGTGCTTCTGGACGGGTTAAGCAAGGGCAGTACCTGGGACAATCCCTTAGGTTATCCTCTCTCCCATCAAGAAGCCCACATTCCTAGTTTGTTGTAAGGCAAACTGATGCACAGAATCACAGAATCACAGTGGTTGGAAAAGACCTTTAAGATCACCAAGTCCAACCATAAACCCAACACTGCCAATTCCACCTCTAAACCATAAACCCAGCACTGCCAATTCCACCTCTAAACCATAAACCCAGCACTGCCAATTCCACCTCTAAACCATAAACCCAGCACTGCCAATTCCACCTCTAACCCATAAACCCAACACTGCCAATCCCACCTCTAACCCATAAACCCAGCACTGCCAATCCCACCTCTAACCCATAAACCCAACACTGCCAATCCCACCTCTAACCCATAAACCCAACACTGCCAATTCCACCTCTAAACCATAAACCCAACACTGCCAATTCCACCTCTAAACCATAAACCCAACACTGCCAATTCCACCTCTAACCCATAAACCCAACACTGCCAATCCCACCTCTAAACCATAAACCCAACACTGCCAATCCCACCTCTAAACCATAAACCCAACACTGCCAATTCCACCTCTAACCCATAAACCCAACACTGCCAATTCCACCTCTAACCCACATCCCTGAGCACCTCGTCTGCCCGTCTGTTAAATCCCACCAGGGAAGGTGACTCCACCACCTCCCTGGGCAGCCTGTTCCAACGCTTGACTGCCCCTCAGGTGAAGAAACTTTTCCTCAGATCCAGTCTGAACCTCCCCTGGTGCAACTTGAGGCCATTTCCTCTCGTTCTATCATATACAGCACAAGTCATACTCGTGTTTTGTATCTGTGAGAAGTAGTGAAGAGCTTTCTCGGAGTGTAAACATCCTGTAAATCGTGCCCAGCAGCAGCAACTCTGTGTCACCTCTGCTTCCCCCTCAAACCCTGGGGAGCGTTCTCTTCTCGTGAAGAACATCCCAAACGTGCTCCCGGCAGAGCCTGGAGTTCAGAACAAATCCCCACAGAGACATTTCTGGGTAGTTCCTGGTGTGCCTCATGGATGGGGCACGCTCCGCACCGCCTGCTTCACATCGGTATCATACCAGCAGTGTCGGGATTTTCTTGGGTAAAAACAACAAATAAAAAACAATAATTAGAATCAAAATACACATTTGACATAACTCGGTGCACAGGTGAGTTTTGCATTGTGAAAGCCTGGGTCACAGAGCTGTTTTTAAAGATAATAATTCATTTAATCATTCCTTTCCAAAGCGCTCCCAGGCACAGCGGATTCAGTTGTCGTTAGCTCTGAAGTGTTCTGCCCCTTCATTTCAGACTTGCTGAGTTCTTGTAAATAACAAGGACACAGATTTTTACAATGTACCAAACTCAGTATTAGCCTGAAGAATTAATTATCTGGAAAATCTATTATAAAGTGAACCTTAAAAAAAACCCCCATAATATTTGTGAATTAAGATGTTTGTTTGCACACACCTCCTATGTGTATATACAAATACATTTATATATGCAGAGCATTAATTTGCAAGGCTTCCAGCTGTCAAAGCCTTTGGGGAAGTCGTTACACTGATACCTAATAGCAAAGGAAGAAAAAAATATATTTTTGAGCATACTCAGCATAAATTAGCAGGAACCTTTTCTTGGTTCCTATCAGAGACCTCCTCCTTTCATTTCTGACAGAGCCAAGATGCACAACAGCACACTTCAATATTATCCAGAGAAGCAAATTTTAAACATCAATGCAAATTAGCTAGATTCAGCTTAATTTTTTGTGAGTAGTTCACAGTGCTGATAGGCACAACTTTTTGTGAATTCCTGCTCTTTATTCATACAGATTTCACATAATAGGTCTGAAAAAGTGTCTGGTAGTATCATATCATGGACATTGCCCATCCCTTCCAAGGCTATTATCATATGCATATATAAAGAAGCATCAAAACACATTGTGAAGATTTTTGGCTTGAGATGTATTTGCAACAGTAACAACTGAAGATTTTTTTTTCTTAGATAACTAGGTGAGAACAGTGAATATTTGAGTTACTATTAACTTGATTGGCTATTAGGGTGCTGTGTTATCGAGTCGTAGACTTCTAGTTTTCTGGTTTTAGTCTGGGTGTCCCTGCTGCTGGCAGGGGGGTTGGGACTAGATGATCTTTAAGGTCCTTTCCAACCCAAACCAGTCTGGGATTCTATGACACAGCAACATGGGGTGTCTGCCTGCCCAGCTCATCCTGCTGTGCACAGATCTGGGGGTCGGGGGGTGATGGTGTGACAGCAGAGAGGGGACAGCCCGGCTGGGGGTGGGTCAGACACAGGATGGCTCCAGCCTGACTGTACCAGGGAGGTCACGGTAAGGGTGGCTCATGTACCTGGGATGATGATCTGTTTCCTCCACAAAACTCTGCTGCTTACAGGGTTCGGGAGTCACTGCACTCTGCTGAAATCAAAGAGGTTTTTTCTGCTGAATCTGGGGAGCAGGATGTCTCCTTACCCCCATCACCTCCTCCACAGTGGCACAAATGTGAGGGCTGAAGGCGCTTGGATTGTTCAGCCTGGAGAAGAGGAGACTGAGAGGAGATCTCCTGGGGGTCTAGAACTTCCTCCCAAGGGGAAGAGGAGGGGCAGGTGCTGATCTCTTCTCTCTGGCCACCAACGAATGCCAGGAGCAGAGGAAATGGCA